CAGAGAAAATTAAAAAAAAAATATACTGAAAGACTCCAATGCTAAAAGCCAAATAAAAAGACAACAGATTGTATTGGTTTTCATCTCACAATCTTTGGGTCAAATGCAGGATTTTTTAAACAATTTGAGTTTGTAATACTGAGAATAATGAGAAAGTGCTTACATTATCAGAACCTAATCAGCAGAATCTGAAAAACTACATTTAAACACTCTCATTGTAACTTTTTATTTGGCAGAACAAAGTAATTGTTTGTCTCAAGTACAAAAATGCTATTGAAAAGAAAATCAAGGTGGGTTGGAAACTGCAAACTTAGAAATTTTCTCCTCTGGATTCCACTGTATCTGAATCATCTTACTTTTTAAATGGCTACATAATGCAGATTACAACATTTCTGAAGTTATGTAATGGGCAACAGTTCTCATGAAAAAAATCCCAGTGCCAACTTGCTACCATGTTACTACTGCTGTCCATAAGAGATAATTATGAAAAGGAAGATAATCTGACAATCATAATTTTTTTTTGAGCTATGACTTTTTCCATTGATTTTAATGTAACATATTTGCCTTTCTAAAACAAGGAATTTTTTTCAAGGGAATTAAGTGCTCAATAATAATTGTTGTGTTTCTTTTCTCCTCTCTAGTGTTCATAATGGCTTCTGGACTTTTGGTTTACCCTTTTGGTTTCAACTCTGCTACTGTGAAGAGATTCTGTGAAAATTCAGACATCTACTATGCAGGAGACTGCCAGATTGGCTGGGGGTATATGCTGGCAATTGTTGGGGTAATGTTGTCTGTCTTTTTACCATTCTTTGCAAAATATGCACCAAAAGAGCACATATCTCCAACTCCAATACCTACTATTTTATAGGTGTATATATATACTATATATATATACACTATATATATATTTTTGTATTAGTGTTTAAGAACAGAACATTCCTGTCTACAGGCAATGGGCAGAAATTATTATAGCACTTCCATTTAGCTGTATTGCTAAAGAGAGAAAAAAGGAGATGAGGAAGAGCAGGTCAGATTCACAAAGACCAAAAGTGCATTGCTAGTCTTCCGTAAGTATGAGCAGCGAACACTCTGGAATTGAAATAAGATTAATCAGCAGCCTTTATACTGCTCTAAACATATAATGGCATAATGCCTTAGACAAAAAAAAATCTGTTTATCCTCAAAACATCTGTCTACCTCCCAGTTTCTTTTGTGTCTCAAAATCTTAAGTCTTTTAAAAGTTTCAATTCACTTTTTATAGATTATTAAATGTCAAAACTTTTATGAAAACAATAATTTTAAAACCAATAATGATATTTTGTTACAATTATCTTGATTAGTGAAAAAGCACCTACTAGTAGCCATGGCCTAAAATTAAGGTTGATATCTAAAAAGAATTGTATACAAGAAAAAAGTTTCTTTTAATCTAGATGTATTAGTAATGCCTGCATATTTAAAATTTTTGGCATACTTTTTAATACTGATCTAATCTTCAAGATTTAGAGTCACCTTCATCAAGCCTTGCATAAAATTTAGATGACTTTTTTCCACAGGGAAAGAAATCCAACTACTTCCAAAAGCTTTACGATGATTTAATAGTTTAACAACAGGAAAAAAAAAAAAGCTAATAATTTGTTTTCTGTAATTCTTAAATTATAATTTAAGTGGTCTTTTTACAAAATTATTTGAACTATTACAGGTTTAGATTTTGCAGTTTGTTGTTTGTTTTTTAAGGTCGAAAAATCTGTTTACAAAAATCCGTGTGCCCAGTGGTCCTTGTATGTAGTGATAATACAAGCCAGAATGAACAGGATTCTAATATTTCCATTCCTATTAAGAGCCCATTATTGTGAAAAAAAAAATAGTGAAATGCTACTGAACATGACTAGTAACAATCTGATGCTGTGTCAGAACTAGCAAATGGCCATATTTCATGAGTTTGTATGTGAAATTTGTGAAGTCCAATTTCCACAATAGCACTGAATTCATTACTATCAAGCATTGAAATAAGTGCACTTGATTGCCTTAAGCAAAAGAAACATTGGGTTCTAATCTCACCCCACCATTATGTTTTTCATTTAAAATAAAAATTGAATTCTAATTCTATTCTTGTATTTTATTTTCTATTATTTATTTTTTAAAAATCACAATTATATTTAATTCAGAGCTGTACTTCTTAGTTTTGTATTTTGGCACAAACCAAGTGTTCAAATTTATTATTCTTCACTTAGCTGAGTCCAACTGATTCCTGAATTTTTTTTTTTTTTTTTTTTTTAATGGAAAGTGAACATGAAGGGACAGAGAGAGGCATATTGAGGATGTATAAGAAAATGCAAACAGATCGAACAATCACTGTGTTACTTTAATAAATGTCAAAGACCTCTGAAGTCTTGTTTACATTCCTCACCCTCCTAAACGTCAATGGAACATTGCATTGTTTTCCAAAGTAATTGTCTGTTGTTACATTTTCATGCACTCCAAAAGCAAATTCTGCACATAAACTTAGCAAGTTCCATTACTAATCTTTGAAAATACGGATTTCAATGTAGAATTAAGTAGACTGAGAAAGAGAGACAGAGAGTGTGTGCTATGCCGTTTTGCTCGCAGTGACTAAGGAATTAAATCTTCCAAATATTTGGAAAATAGGTTGAAGAAATGTCTCTAAAAAGAATAAATTTCAGTCACTTCTGTATGCTAATGTACTTTTCAGTAATGTCTTACAATTCTTTTAATGAATGGCTGAAATTGATAATTTTTATGTAAGAGTGAGAAAAGTGAGGAATAACAAACAACATACAAAAAGAAAATCATCACTGCGAAGTAGAGAGACAGAGATGCAGGCTTTTCTTTCCTAACCAACCTGTGCCTTTACACTAGAACCATTATACCAGACAGGATCAATACGGTTAAAAAAAAACCCCAACAACAAGCAACAACTGAAAAATGTTGAGTAATGTGTATAAACTGTATTACGTAGGGTTTTTTCTGTTTTGTGTAACGTTTACAACTGTTCACTTAATGTTTCACTAGAAAAAGTGATTTGTTAGTGTAAAGTAGAAAAATTTTTTTCAAAGATCTGAACACTGAAAGTAAAATTATTTTAGATTTTTTATTAACAGCCATAACATACCTAGCAGACGCAAATGACCTATTCCTGTCATTACTTATTAACGTAACGTTCACATATGCAGAACTGGAACCATCAATCATTGAACTGAAATCAGTAGGACTACAACATTTGTGTGATGTTGATGACGCGCACGAACGCTTGCAGGTCTGGTCCCATAGTTCAAGCTTCCTTTGTGGTTTTCAATTACTGTTACAATGGAGTCTCACAATTACAACACTGCTGTACCAAATCCTTTCCTTCTTAAAACTTAACTTCTTCTGTGGTGAACATCATCAAGCACTACATCCTGTAATATTCTGCACCTTTTATGAGTTAAGCTACTGTTTCCATTTGAAACTTTCTTTAGTATTTTATAACATATAAAGGAAATCAAATATATGTGTATGACCTCTACAACTGGATAGATGAAACTCTCCTTGAGACATCCACGCTCAGAACCAGCTTAGCACAGAAGGTAGAGATGACAATGCAAGCGATTCTTACAACTGTTAGTAAAGCATATACTTTAGATCCTGAAGGGGAACATTAAGGGGGGTGTTGCTAACAATGCATGTGCTAACACTGACAGATCACTTTTTTAAATAAAGACTGTCCGCGCGTTAAACTGTGTAAAAGCGTTTCCTTGTTACAAGTCAAACGATTTACTGGACCAGGTTGAAGTTTTATTCTAAATATATAATTTTTTAAGTGTAACTAAAAGCTGTATTTTCCATTAATGTGTTTCTGCGTTGACTAGCTGGCTCCTTTTTAGAATATTAACTGTTTTCTGTATTTGACTTGTTGGATACAATATTTCAATTATTTTAAATGTGAAATTTCCAATTGCCAACACTGTATAATAAAAAAAAAAAATATCACACTGTTCACCATTTTCTTGACAACTCTTTTGTTTTACAACTCCCAACAGATCTGGTACAAAGCTTTTGAAGCAGGGGGACTAGCTAAGGGGAAAAGGAAATAGAAACAGCAGGAATAATCTATGAAAGTTAATTTTTAAAGGCAAAGACACATAAATGTGTACATGGTCCCTCCCTCATGAAAGATGTTTCTATGGCAAAGGCAAGGAAGTTCTGTGTTCAAATAATTATTTCTCTCCAACTTCCTCTGTGTCCTTGAGCAATCTTCCTACAGCTTCAGGGTCTGTTGCTATTTTATACAGACATTATACTGATTATTTATTTTTTAAAAACTATGAATCAGATAACATATCAACGGGAACCATATGAATACCTAACATATACAGCTGCATCCTGGGAAATCTTTCTGTAGTATCTATTATGTTCATTTCTAGAAAAGCTTTTACACGTGTTCTTGTAACCCAGCAAAGGAAGGGGAACCTTATAGTTGGAACTCAAGGGGAATATAGACTGCCTTCATACTTTCTACCAAAGAACAGCTTTAATGCAGTATACAGAGCCAAAGAGAATTCTGTTAACATTTGTTTACTATTAAACTGTGGCCAAATACTCCTCAACAGAAGTATATAATCAACATTTTGAAATAGGTATTGAAGGAATTACTAGAAACTGAAGATAATGAAAAGCAATGGCAATCTGAACTAGTATTGATGATCTTTTTCTAAGACACTTCCACTACTGCAAAACTTCAACATTTTAATTCAGAATTTCTCAAAAAAATCTAACCTACTATGTAACAAAACTGTTATTTCATATATAACTAGGAAAGATAAGCTATGGAAAGTATGCTGGAAACAAAACATTGGTACTAACATTTGTTGGATAACACAGTATAGTAATATTTTCAATTATTTAATAAGATTTTCAGTATTAGTTTTGGTAAATGCGTTAGGATGTCCAGCCTCTATAGGTAATGATGAGTGAAAATCAGTATTGGACAACCATTTCGACTTTTACATTTCATTCATTGTTTTTACATATGCTGTCATCTCAACATCTGCAATTTTAACAAATTCTTGGAAAGTGTTTTGTTCTTGAATAGTTGCTGGTCTTACAGAGACACATTTGAATATGTTCCTTTTTGCGTCATATTTTCCCATGCACCTGTGCACTCGACCTCTAATTAGTCTTGGAAGCTCCCGGTCCTTCATCAAAAGCATGATAAACAAATAAAAAAGTTATATCACCTTTCTAACATAAGAGCTTTCAAAATGTCCACTTGTTAGATATCAGTGGATTTCTGAAGACTACATCAAACACAGAAGGAATTCACATCAGCTTTTTTGCTATTATCAACTACTTAGAAGCTGAACTGAAAGTCCCACCTTTTTTGCTGAAACAGAAGCCTGAGGATGCCCAGTGACTGGCTCTAGACCAGTTTGGGAACCATATGGTATAAGCATCCAGCTTTCCTTTCACACAGTAATTTTCTGTTTTATCGGAACAATCTATTATTAGCTTCATAAAAGGGATTACAGCTAGTGATGTCTGTGTTACGCATGGACACAGAATACTTACAATTTCGTAAAATACACAAGGCAGACTCTCCTTTCCATCTCTCAGAAGAAAATTCTTTGCGCCATATGCTCCAGGTGTGACTGCAGAATCAAGTGTGCCTGTACCATTTAGCAAAAACAAAGCATGATGTAAACATCAGAGCAGTACTAAGGATGATATACAAAGATACCATGACAACACCTACTACACAAAAGCACTAAGATATATCAAGGGAGCATCAGCTTTCTGTAAGAACTTGTGCTGACAGCACTGGAAGTTCCAATACAAATTATGGGCTTTACACAGTGTTTGAACAGTAAAATTGTCATGATGTCTCTCTAAACTGAGTGACCAAATGTGGATTTCATAACAAGGTTATTCCCTTGTTAAGCAGAGGACAATACAATTCTTTAAGTTTTATTGATCTTGATATGCAAATCAACTTTAAATATTCACAACCTTGTCAAAATAATAGTTTTCTGAGATGCCATTACATTGTGTATTCTTATTTACCTTGATTTAAAGTCTTTTGTCATGTTTGTTTCTCAGATAACGTAAATTAAAAAGAAAAGTGAAACAGTAAAAGTCATCCATGTGTACAAGTACTCCAGACTTGTATTTATTCCCAGATTAACTGTATTAAAAATTACTGTAAAACTGTACGTTTCTACAGAAGGTTCATTTTTAATAGGAAAATTTATTCTAACACAGTCTAAAAACAAGGAAAGAAAAGAAACAAGATAGAAAGAGCTTAAATGTTGGAGGATAACTGTATTATTAATTTTGTATCTAATTTAGTAACCTTTGATAGCTGAATGGATCTCCCAAGAAGGAAAATTAGATGGCGCTCATGCCAGTACTTTATGGGTTTAAGCATTTCAGCTATTGTTCCTACAACTGATAACATTTTCTCTTGGCTGCTCTCCTACCATCATTACCAGTTACAGCACAATCTACCATGCTTACCTAAAACTTCAAATAATAGTGCAGTTTTATAAGCATATTGACTCCAGTGCCTCATACTTTCAATGACTGCAGATATGATTCGCAAAGAATTCTTTTTTTCTTTACTTTTTAATTGAGATGCTGAAACTTCCTTTCAGAGGAAGATGAAAACTCAAGTTAGAGATACACATTCACACAATTTAAAAAAGCATGTAGACATTTATATATTATATTAAATATCCAATATTGACATTTAAATTATTTGTTCAGACTATACAAACAACTCCCTGCCAATTTGTATGATCATGCTGAGGACTGTAGGTTATTATCTTATGAAAATCTGAATTTTCAGAAACTGAAGGGTTTACTAAGGCAGCTAAGACTGATGAAAGATGCATCCTTTCTCAATTTTCTTTTTCTTTACTGTTTTCTTCATTGTATCTTCCTATTAACTCTCTCCATAAGTTTACCTGACTTTTGTCCTCTGGAACACAATCAAATTGTTTTTCATTCAGTTTATTTTTCTGAATATTATGGTTAAATTTATATGCCAGACTATGATCCTGCAGACTTCTTGAAACAGTGTTAGGTTTCAGAGGCCATTGTCCTTTAGATGTGTATGCTTGGCTCATTTCTGCTGTTTTGATAAGCTGAGATGAATTACGATTATCAGGGTTTTTTTGCTTCTGGACAGTTTTCAAACCATTTGAAAGGTTCTCAAACTTTTCAATAATTCCCCTATCAGATCTTGAATCTGTTGTATTACTTAAAGGAGTATACTCATTTGTGTTCCAAACTCTAGTACTGGGAGTCTTCTCTTCTGCCCTGCAGTACAACATAAGACATATCTATGTATTATTGTTTTAGCTTTAAAAACATCTGTTAAATATTCACACTCAAAGCACTTAAGCATACACTTAAATTTATCCATATACAGTGCAGTGGTCACACCTGTGCTTAAACCCAGATGAATTCAATAGGCCTTAGAAGCTTGCTCAATTATTGTCCTGCCCTGTATAAGGGTTCTTTCCTGACCTAAGATTCACATTTTTTTCATAACTCTAAAATAAAATAAGCAAAGTTTCTTCTGAGAGTGGTATTTCCGAATTCTTCTACCACCATCACTGAAGAAATCATTTTACAACTAACTCTCGTGCTGACCTTATTATTTCAACACACTTCTGTACAAAGGCGGCTCAGAAATTCCTTCGACCTCTATTACATTTTGCCTTTGAAGGCACTTGTTTGAAACATTTGTCTCTTTTTGCCATTGGAAAGGAATAGGAGGAAGGGAAGAGAGAGAAAGCACAATTATAACATTGCTGGAAGTTTTCCTGCCAGCTCTAGGCATCTGAATCTATAAGCTTTTCCTTGACTTATAACAGCACAGAGTTCACAATTATATTCAGCTTTGATTAAATGTTTTGATATACAATTGCCCTAAGGTACACTTACAGAAGCTTATTTGAGTCTGCTGATAAATTTGGTTTGGAAGTCGGCAAAACTTCAAGTAAAGGGGAATCTCAAAAAATTACATCTAAGACCAGCAAAATTCAATCAACTTTTATGGCAAGACTGAATTTTAGGCCTGATAAGGCCAGATGTTAGGTCTAATTAACAGACCTCATCAAGTACACTGGAAAGATACTCCATTTCAGTGGGTTTTGGCTCATAAACACAATGGAATTATTGAGGACTACAGTGGTGCTCTGAGAATTAAGAGTTTCTCTGAATGCTACAAGAACACAGAATAATGTAAGATATATTTTCCCATGAGAATAATTTTGGTTAAGGAAGAATAATAAAATTCAAGACTTCACCAACCTCCAGGCATACAAGCTTTTTCCAGCATTTTCTAAGTTAGCCTTTGATGCATTTGGTGGTTTCATAAGGGAAGGAGCCACTTGATGTTCTGTTCGGCTTTCAAAGATAAGTTTAAAGTATCACTGACATAGTAGCAGCTTTATTGCAAGACAGACACATGGATCATAGTTTGTGAAACAATTAGTACCCACATAAAAATCAATAAGCAAAAATAATCTGCTTTTACATACCCATTGTTTGCTGCTTTCTGTAGTTCAGCCACTTCTGGGTTTGCAGTTCCCCAGCCTAATTCTCAAAAGACAAAGGATTGAATATGGTTACAAACTGAAAAGATTCCAAGGTAACAGATCTGCTTAGGGCTCCTACTCTTTACCTGCTTAATGTTCCACAAACAGGCTCCCATAGGAAGGAGAGGGGGAAAAAATAAGGCAACTTCTAACAAGTAGGTTGCTTCTCTAGACAATGGTTGAGTTACAGACATTAGACTTACTAGCACAGAGACTTTCTAAGTAAAACATAAAGAAAGTACTGAAGGCAGAATTCTGCATCATTCTTTCCAAACACAGTTTGAAGAACAGAAGTTCTCTTCTGAATTACAAGAAAGACATAAGTGTTTCTTCTTGTAACACAGGACTTGAATGTTGATTGAAATCAACTGAAAACAAAAGGTCAGAGTTTCAAGAGACTCTATTTAAATGCCAGTGCTACTTCATTCTCTAACACACAAAGAGTCAAACTCCCTCTAGGCACAAAGTATAAAAAGCTCAATTATATAGAGGAGAAAGAAATTTCCTGGAGGACATTTTTACATAATGAACTTTTCAGAAATATACATAAAGGATGCATACAGCTCTTGATAAAGGCAACATCTAATTTCATAAAATACAATCATAAAGTTAAGATTTACTTGGGTTTAGAACCATTAAAAAAAAGTATCTTACTTACCAAATGACGTGGGAGAAAAGTCGTAAGTACGAGTCCCAGAACTAGCACCCAGCTCATTTTTAAGGGGATTTGAAGTGAGGGGCTGTCTATTTCTTTTCTTCTGATTGAACAGAGGTACAGGCAGACAACCTAAAATTAAAATTCAAATAATAATACTATACCAATAACAAAAGGATACACAATCTACACTTAAAACATGTAAATAAAATTACTTAACAATTATTTTACAGCACCCATAGGAATTACACTTCACAAACACATAACAGATCACTGCCTCATAGAATTCATATTCCCAGCTCTCTGCTGCAAAGAATCCTGTGAATGAAACATTTCCCTTAGTGATCAGTCACCTGACTCCAGTCAAAATCTTGCCCTGTGCTGCAATAGAACAGATAACCCACGCCAAGTCCACTCAGGAAATGGGGTGCAGGGCTGAATACTGTATATCCTGTATGACTACTGCATGTGTGTGTATATGTATGTATGTATATAAGCATAATGAGGTATGAATGGTAAAGCACAGAAGAATGGATGGTACCTGCTGTGCTGCGAGTTGAAGTGTCAGCCAGACTCCTTTTCATTTCTTTGCAGTATCTTAATAGGCAACAATGTATTGGTCACTCCAGATTTGCTCTATGGAAGTTAAATCAGCAAACAAAGTAAACTAATTTGAGTTGTAAACACATCCAAATTTTATGTGATTTTATGGCAGTTTCTCTTAACTCTCTATATATGCAGTGACATGCAACACTTAGACACAAACCTAAAACGCGCTAACAGTTGTACTGAATTTAGAAGATCCATGGGTACACAACCAACATGCAATTGCTCTTTGCAGATTAAGGGCCCAAATTATTACATTTTTGAAGTAAAAGTTGTATTCTCTGCTTTTTTTAAGTGCTGTAAAAATACTGAATTCACTTCTGAATTTAAAAATACATATACATTCAAACACAAGGCCTATTTTTAAATTCCTGAAAATAGAATACTAATTGCATACTTCTACATTGCTGCAAAGCATGATGGCAAGGTACAAGGCTTTGAGTAAAAAACTGATTTAACTATTCTGTGAAAACTAGCATCACGCTTCCAAAAAATAAACTATTCAGTACTTTATCGTACAGACCTAAAACCTTTAGCCAATTTCCTAATATATAAAATACTTCACACATCAAAAAAGCATTATTATCAGTTAGATATTATGAGCAGAAAAAGTGTATATTAGCATATTAGCTACATGTAGTTTGCCATATTTTTTTCCTGATCAATCTACGCTGTAGTGATGTCTATATACTACTGTATACATTGAGGATACTAAACAGGCTATTGTGCACCACTAGTTGCTATTCCATCACAGTTAGTTACTAGTACATATTGCTTTTAGTGGCATATGAATAATACACTGTACTTGTGCATATAAATAATGTAAGATGTTACCTCTACATTTGTTTTGATCTGGCAGTTAACTATGTGCTGCTATTAAACATGTTTACAAGAATTAAGCACAAGTGCCTACCACAGCTAGGCTAACAGATCAATTTACTCTTCATTTCTGTGAGATACATCAACTACTTGTGCAACGACATGACAGCAGCTCCTAGTTCATTGCTGTTACACAATTTAAATCTTATTGCCAGCACTATGAAGCCTAATGGCCATCAGAAAGCAACATACTGATATAATAAACCCCCGTAAATTTTAGTTTATTAAGCCAATTTTGGTGTTGCACAGGACTGTGGACAGTCTTGTTTTCCTTTTTGTCCTCTCTTGAAGATAAGCAAACCAAAACCCAGAGCTAAAGCTGTAGAAAAAAGTAAGCTAAGGCTGGAGAATGGAAGATACCAGGGTAAGCCCCCCCAGTGCCTCACACAGCAGCAGCACCAGTCACAAGCTAAAGGAGCCTGAAGTCCTCGCTGGAGGCTGAGGAAGAGCGCTGAGGTGAAGCCCGCCAAAAATAACGGACCCAGCGGCGACGCTCTCGCGCCTGAGCGCGTGCGAAAGGCTCGTAAGAGCCGTAAATCCGTGCTGTTTACGAGGGTTTAACTAATTCTCTCCGTGGCCGCGGTGGTCGCACACATCCTGTGATCTTCAGCACTTGGAGAACCTGGGGATGGGAGCCGAATATCCACAGAAGTGTGAACACAAACATGGATACAAATAAAACTCTCGGCACGCGTCAGGCTGTTTTCCAACTCCACCACCAGACCGCTTTGACACACGGGTGATTCCAACTGTGGGACTGCCAACTGGTTCCCGAGCAAAAGCTTGGCGCAAGGCGGGACTGGAGCTTGTCCGTGCTTTGCAACACTTTTTCCTCAGCCAGTGCCTTGGAAGGCGTTGGCGAGCCACGATGCACGCCCTATATATATATATATACACACACACACACATGCACCTGTGTGGCTTTGAGAGCTAGACTTCATTCCATTTACATTTAATTACTGCATACGTTTTTCAGCTTGTGGCATACGTTCGAATCCTTCAGATGCACTACCAGATATTTGCATGTACTACATAAAAAAAAATCTGAATTCTTAATCAACTACATATGATCCTGCATAATTTTGCATGGTGTGAGTATTGGCAAAGCACAAGGAATAAGGGATTGGTCCTGGTGTTTAATTCAGAAGAGTGAAAGCTTTTGAAGTGTTTGCATTTATGCCCCAACTTTGTGTGTGCTTGTAATGTCCCGGGAGACCAGGAGTTAAAAGCTGCCTGGAAGTTAAGTTGCTCTAAGGGTATAAAAGCAGCCTCCATAGCTTTAGTTCCCAAACTCATGTTTGGAAATGCACTGTGTGTGTCCTAAGAAAGCTCTTCTTAGGAGACAAACTTCTTGCACGCCCAATGAGGTAAGTGCCCAGACGCTCTCTGTGTTTCATTCAGCGTTTCGCGAGGAACTGCAACCCTTACAGTGCCACCAGCAACAAAAGACAAGCTGTATCTACGAGCAGTGCGGGCTTGTGTTTTGCCATTTGCTCTTCAGGCTGCTCTGGCGTTTCAGTTCAGCAAACCAAGATTCAGAGCGTGAGTCATTTTTTCAGGCAGGGCGTAAATAGCCATTTTGGCACCACCGCTGAAGAGACTGGGGTCAAAGGACAGTACAGACTGTCCAGTGCTGTAAAATACAACTTTACTGCTGTGTTTAATCAATTACTGACTACGATTAAATATCTGACAGCTCGTAAGTACAGCAGTAATACAGTTGAGTGTTTAAGTAAACAGTCTCTCTGTATTAACTTGCTGTAAGGTTCAGCATATCTGTATGCATAAACTGAAACACAGCGAGCAACTTCTGTAGGAAACGTATCCCTGGCAGAACTTGTCTAGCTAAGTCCTCTGTTTGGCTTGCTTTTCATAAGCCTGCAGTCTGTCAGTCTGGGTTACGAAGCCTTTCCCAGGTACTAGCCAAATACTCCCTCAGTCACTGCAGTATAATCTTAATAAAAAGAAATTATTCAAGAAACATTCTTTATTCCCTTGCAATGTAACATTTTTTATATTTATATCATGTGTCGGATACTAATTGCAAATACTTCTGTCAGTTACAGCTGTAAAACGTATTGTCTGTTATTAAGACCTTTTATTCTATATGTTTTGATGCTCATGATGGAAGTTACGGCTGCTCTTTGGCTTAAGTTTCAGAAGCCTGTCCAAATGCTTTTGGAAATGGAAGAAGTCAAGTTGTTGACTAAGTTTGGGGAAGTGTGTTTTGTTATTTTGGGGTTTTTTGTGGGGGGGGGGGGAACACGCCTATTGTCCCATTGTGGTCTATATCTGTCTCCTTTTTAATAAGGGATGGCACAAGTTAGAAGGGTCGTCACTGGCAAAGTTGTTTCAATGTGTTAGAGGTCTGTGCTAGCAGATCCCGAGATAGAACTAGAGCCAGGAATACTCTGTCAGTCATGGATAAATTAATTTCAGCTAGTGTTCCTTCTAGTCACTATTCTTCAGTTCTTATAAAACAAAAAAGGTCATACAAGCAACAACATGCTTTGAGGAACTCAGCTGTTCTTGTTTTTTTAGATGAAAGCACTTGATGTTTCAGCATTATGTGTTGATCTAGAGCCAAGATATGATTCATATTTCACTGTTTTTGCTCACTTTAAATCATTCTGCCCTTGTATACTGGAACGTTTATGTAACTTCAAACATACATGAGTATACTTGTTACACCTAGTTTGCAATGCAAAAATGTCAGAGATATTTAAGTGCATTATTAAAGTTTACAGTAAAAAAGTCTTTTAATACTATCACTAGTACAAGATTTACCTGTATGTCATATATTAATACAGATTGCTTAGAGAAGTTGACTTTTGAACTGTGTAACAGTAGTATTAACAGACTTGGAGGTATTACTAAACATGGTAAATGAAGGGGAGGGCTCCTCGAGAGGGAGGAGTGTCAGGTTAGCAACTCCCCGCCTCGCAACGGGAGTCAAAAACTGCTAGAGAAATGTTAGCTCACACTCATTCACATCTGACCTAAACAGGCTTAAAGAAGTTCCTATTAAAAAGAATTTGGGGGTTTTTTGGAGACCAAAGTTTTACTTTATCATTATCTTCTGTTTTGCTTTCAGCAATTCTTAGAGCTGCTGAAAAGCATGACTTCCTCTTCTGTTGTTGACAAACCTCCGGTAAGACGGGTTGCTATCTTCGGGGGAACTCATGGCAATGAGTTATCAGGGGTATTTTTGGTCAAGCACTGGCAAGAGCATGGAGCTGAGATTCAGAGAACAGGGATGGAAGTGAAACCATTTCTTACCAACCCAAGAGCTGTGAAGAAGTGTACTAGATACATTGACTGTGATATGAACCGTGTTTTTGACCCTGATAATCTTGGGTAAGAATAGTTGTACTTTCTGCTGTTTTACTTTTCTGTTTTTTAAAATTGTAAGGAGCTTCCTTTCCAGATTAAAGTGTTAACAGAAGTTCCACTACTATTTTAACTGTGCAGTCACATAACTGAAGTTACTGACCTTTAACCCAAAAAGAATAAATTGCATGAGTGTTAAGAGATTCATTTTAAAACTGTTGCTAGTAGAATGAGTCTCAAACCAACACATAATCTTAAGCATTTTAAGTTACTATTAGATTAGGTGCATTTGTTTAAACTTAAGAATTGCTGTTCTGAGTTGTAAAGTAATTATTTCTCACACATTGTCTTGTGCAATTCAGCTTTGGAGCCTTTCTGAATACAATTATATTTGCAAGAAGATAGCAGATAAAAGCATTTTAAACGCAAACATCTGAGTATCTGAAAGAATGGCATACAAGTCAGGGAAGTGTATTTAATTTGAGTTATATATAGTAAAAGATGAAAACTTGAAATTAGCTAAGTTAGAAATAATATATTCTATGACAAAATGATAGCCAAAAACTCCCAATAATTTAACTGACTCATTATTTTAGAAGAAACACAATCTATAATTACTGTAAAATAGTAAATGATTTTACATTTTAAATAGGATTTTATGTTTCTCTGCTTTTGAGACATACATCCCAGAGGTGTACTTTGCTGTATAAACATTCTTATGCTTGGTATAGTTGCATGCTAAACAGGTAATTATGTTTCAGAAAGGTCTTAATGGTAAAGGTGACTATCACTGAAAGAAATATGTATCACATATTTTGTAAGCACGGTTATTCTTACCTGGCACGTCTTTTCATCTTAGAATTTTGTTGTTGATTATTTTATATAAGATAAACAGACTTTTTAACACGTAAGTGTTGAGGCCAAGGACAAACGTATGAAAAAAAAAGTGCTTTTGTTTGTTTTCAGCTGCTTTGAACAGAGAACACTTGAAAAAATAGCAGATTAAGACACCTGCAGGCTGATCTTCATTTTTCAACTGATATTCCTCAGTAAATCCTATTAAGTTGCCCAGTCCTGTTACAACACTACTGACTGTCTGGAATACCTTCCCCTGATCCCTTTAAGTGTAGACCCTTCAAGATTACAAATGATTGTACAAAATAAGAAAAAGGAGAGTGAAATCCTGATACTACTGAAAGTAATGGTGGAAATCCCATTGGCTTCGAGAAGAAGTATTGACTTAAGAGTCTTATGTGAAGAAACCTTGAATTTCAAAGACAGAACTAAAAAATACAAAGGTAGATGATGTGATACACGCAATCATAAAAATAGAAAATGGAGCTTGAGGGGCTCATGTAAAAATTCTAATTCACCTTACATCCCACCAGTAGATCAACTGCATGTAAACATTCCTAACTTGGCATTTCTAATACTCCAGCAGTGGCAATCCCATAATTTTCCTCAGCAACCTTTTCTGATGCTTAAATATCCATGCAGTTAGTAAGGTGTTTTGTTAGCATTTAACAAAACTTTCTTTATGCAACTTAATACCCATATTTCCTACAAAATTAAAATATTACAAAGCTTGAGCTGTATTGAGAACAAACAGTGAATTTAGTGCAAAAGGTGTTAGGTGTGTCTATATTGTACTTGGGTAGTATCCCAAGCCTATCATCAAAACCCCATTTGCTGTCTATGCAGAAACAAGTCTGAACCTACAGCAGCTTTGTACACTGTTAATATGTAATATATCGGTTTCCTACAGAACGCTTATACAGACAGAGAGCAGATCTCAGACCTTTCCCTAGGCTAAGACCATTTTTTTTAAGTGTAGTACAGACATAGTCACCTGAGATTACAAGTATTGAAACTTGACAGGAATAGATTTGAGGTAGCAAAATCTTCTGTGAGTTTCGAGGGTCGGAAGGGCTCAAAACAATAGACTGAAAGTCTGATCAGAATATGAAAAGACAAGAAATAAAGTGAGTTACAAGAGACCTTGCAACTGATACCGAAGGCAAATGGGCATGGACCGATACCTGAAGGCCATCTTCAGCAGGAGGTGGATCCTGTCTTGAAGTAGTTTCAGTTCTTGAAAAATTTTGAGTTAGTTTTCTGCATAGGGGAAAATTTTGCGATGTAAAGAAATAAGAGAAGTAAATAGTCCTCAGCTAAAATAGGATTGAAAAATTCTTGCTACCCTTCTGCACAAGATACATAATAGTAAGACCTGTTTAACAATCACACTTGCTTTTTTCAAGCACAAATTCACAAGTTCTTAACAGTTTGGTAAATTAAATAGGTGATTTCAACTCCAGTCAGTTATGGAATTAGTAAAAAGAAAAGGGTATACATATTTTGTTTACTGCAAAGCCATGGAATGAGTTTACTAATTTCTTTGTACTGATATTAACAGAAGGACAGTGGTGGAAGATATTCCATATGAAGTGAGAAGGGCTCAGGAAATCAATCAGATATTTGGTCCAAAGGGTAGTGATGATGCGTATGACCTTATTTTTGACCTTCACAACACCACTTCTAACATGGGTGGTACCCTTATTCTTGAAAACTCCAGGGATGACTTTACAATTCAAATGTTTCATTATATCAAGGTAAAACTAATTTAAATGAACTATTAAAATAGATTATTAGTTGTAATGTTGTACTACTATATATTATTTTGTAGTTTCTTTAAATATACTATTTTTTATTCTGCAAAACTGTTTAAATAATCACTCATGGGTTGGGGGTTTTTAATCAGAGATAATTAATAATTTGATTATAATATCAGGTAATTCAGATTTGAACTCATCATAATCTTCATATATTAAAATAAGTGTTAGTAAGACTGATGGGCTTAGAATACCATCTATGAAAATGAATGCAATTTAATCTGCTTTCACACTGATCTGTCAAGAACTTGGCTAGATTTGGGTCACATGCTAAATGGTTAAACATTAATTTTCTGAAATAAAGACACAGCAAAAATAATGGAACTCGGTAATGACAAATGTTCCCTTCATCAGTATTTATAAGAATAGTGATATGTCTTTGGAAGCTCTTTGATTCTCCTGTTCCTGAAACTGATAAGTATTGGTAGAGTGAGGTTTGCAAAGTGCTGGCTTAAGTGTAATCTGGTTGAAGTACTAGTGATCTTGACAATAGCTGATGAAATTGAGATTAGGCCAACAGTGTGGAATTTTTTTTTTTTTTTTTTGCTTTAGAAACAAGGTATATTTTAAACATTTGATTTTTTTAATTACATGTATCACATTTAAATGTTTGTAAAATATTTGAAGATATAGAAAGCTTATGACTAAAATTATATGAAGAGTAGAGGCCTGAAATAGGTTTCTGTGTCAAAAAAAGAGGTTAAAATAAGGTTTAATTCACAATCTATGTCTGCATAAGAAAATCTAGGTCTAACAAAAAATAGTTGAAATCTGCTTAATGATATTTTGATTCTAAGTTTTGGAACACTGATGAGTAGATTTTCCTTCCTATTCACAATTTAAGACTAGAACTGTGTTCAGTTAGATCAGGAGACAGCAAAGTTCAGTGGAACATGCCTGGCATGAGTTAATGGAAAGGAGACCAACAAATAAAGCTTTGTACGTTTTCTAAAGATGTCCTACTTCTTTGAGGGCCATGAAATAAAGGAAACATTTTGAAGATGTTGTGTAAATCACTTCTGCATCAGTAATCTTTTGTGGCACAACATTTTAAAATATTTGCATAACAAAGAAATTTTTAAACAATCTTCACAGAACGCTGTGGCTCCAGAACGCTGTCCTGTTTTGCTGATTGAACATCCTAGCTTGAAATATGCAACAACTCGATCTGTAGCAAAACATCCTGTTGGTAAATATGAAAAATAAAGACGATTTTAACCCACCATAAATTATTTTAAAATATGCGTGTTTCCAGATCTATTAATTTCATTATGTTATACAGAGTATTCTTGTCACCAGTAACTATTTGTTTGACAATATATTTACCAAATCAAATGTATATGTCTTCTTTTGAAGAGTTCAGATTTATACTTGGCTTACAAAATACAGAAACCAGATGGAAATTCTTAAACTCAGTTAACCCACTGTTTGCAGAAAATATTTATAATATACGAGGATAAGGAAGAAGTAACAGCTTCAGAAAAGAAATGTTTACTTTCTCTAAATAAGCCTTGGCTGAAATGTTGGTTGCTAGCCAAGGAGGGGAAAAGAGATGATGTGATATAGGAAAGGAGAAATTATGTTCTGCATGGAACTGGTAAACTTCCTCATTTCTGTAATCAAAACCATAACTATAGGGAAAAAATATTATTTGTTTGCTTTTCATATTAAAAAATTAGTTCTCTAAAATGCAGCATGGAAAGGTAGGATTAGAAAAAGGATAAGAGAAATGAATATACATTGGGACCCTTTCTCTTATCCTAGTAGCACACTCAAAAATGTACATGTGGTTCTTTAAACTGATCCTGACTGGTGAGCCAAATTTTCTGCTTGGCTCACAAAATCACGTAACACTGTACTTTAAAATTCCTCTTAAACATAAAACACAGACTCAGTCAGACATCTGTTTTCGCCTTGTCGTCTAAGCATGTAATATAGTATGACTCTATTAATTCTCTCCCTCATCTGCAAACAGGTGTGGAGGTCGGTCCTCAGCCACAAGGTGTTGTTAGAGCTGATACTTTGGACAAAATGAGGAAGATTGTCAAACACGGCCTTGATTTTGTGCAACTTTTTAATGAAGGTAGAGTATGTAATGAGAGAATATAGCCGCCCCAAGTCATGTCAGTGGACTATTTCAGGAGAAAATTTTTTAAAAGAATAGGTTGGGCTGGAACATTTAAACAGGTAAAATGGGGGTGGGGTTGTTCTGTACACCACTTAAGTATGGCATCTGAAAGAATTCCTGTGTAGCTCCTTAAGGGTATTTCCTCTTTCTGACAGTTCAGTAAGTATACTTGATCTTAATCTTACAGTTGCTTTAAGAATCTGAAATACTAGCTAATAAAATTTGTATAGTAGTATGTACATGAAGAACATACAATAAATTAATAACTAAGAAAGAAATTTTTATGTGCCTTCTGCGCATTGCTATCTAAAACTAACGTCAATAAATTTTGTAAGATTTTGTTATATGTGTGTATACCTATGTACTATCTAAAATACATACTGACAAAAATAATGTTTAAAATTCTTTTAGAGTACATTTTGTCAGTGGGCTTTTTTTGGAAGTAGAAGGAAAAGCACACAGCTGTGCATGTCAATCTCCATTATTGTGCTGGAATAGTAAAGATTAAATAGCACAGATACCATTCTGGGTTGCGCAGCGCTATCAAACACAGGCCTTTCATTTATTTCTTCATCCACAAAATATATCTTTTTAGGTATTCAGTGAGAAGTCACATTTCAGCACCAAATTTAGATCTGGGCTTCATATGCTACAATACCTGACTGGATCATCTTTCTGCAACTGAGCTTCAAGGAGACAAAAATTCTGCAGCTAGACATTTTTATGACATATGAGCTAATCATTAGTGTGTAAACTTTGATGAGGTACAACCTAATGATTTAAGACATTCTAAAAAGAATAAATAATGCATTGTTCTTTTTAAACAGCAGTTGTTCATTTTGACATTAAATCACATTTATTCTTTCTAGGAAAGGAGTTTCCACCGTGTACAATTGAGGTTTTTAAAATAATGGAGAAAGTAGATTATCCCAGGAATAAGAATGATGAAGTTACTGCTATTATTCACCCTAAACTGCAGGTAAATACTAAAACAGTTTCCATTTATGACATTTTATAAGTATTCCTGTGTTGCTTCTGCTACACTGTAGTATATTTTAATAGTAAGTACTTAAAATGCTGATATTGCCGATAGGTCTATTGAAAACTTTAGACCTTTCCTATCACTAAGGTCATACAGTATGTCAGTAACTGACTTGGCAATCGCTGAATCTAAAAACACTTTTGATAAAAATTACAAGCTATCCTATTGTCTTTTTTTCTACAATATAAAACTAATTTTGAATTCTAAAATGAAGGCCTGTTTTTAATCAATTATGAGCATATGCAGTTTCCTTTTAGTTCATCTTTACCAGTGAATTCTATACAAGCCTGAAAACAAGGGCCGGGCACCTGAAATTATGAATGGAAGTTTAAAAGGAGTTATTTCTACAGCTTTTTCCATGAACGGCAGAGAATATAATTATTGAACATAAACTCAGAAATCACACGAAATATACAAAAACTTGAAAGTAAGTATATTCTATTTATTTTCTTTCTCTAAGGATCAAGACTGGCAGCCACTGAACAACGGTGATCCTCTATTTTTGACTCTTGATGGAGAAGTAATTGCATATAAAGGGGACTGTACAGTCTATCCAACATTTATTAATGAAGCCGCTTATTATGAAAAGAAACAAGCCTTTGTAAAAACAGTAAAAATGAAACTCACTGCAAAACACATCAGATCCTCCTCTTAGACCAGAACACTTCTTAAAAACTTACTACAGATTTTCCACACAAAAAGTGGATTTCTTCTCCGAGAAATCCAGTGTCATTCAGTAGTAATTCATATAATAAATGCAGAATCTAATTTTAAATTGTAATTTAATTAACATTGCTGAGCACTTTTAAGATGAAATATAGTGTCATAATGCTAATTATGACTACTGTTTACTTGTTCTAATAGATTACTACAGATGCAAAGAATAAATACTATTTTTATGAAGTTTTAGTTCACACTATATAAAATGATTAAACAATGTACCACATATGGGTTAGTGGCTATAAAACTTATATCCAGTGTTGTATAGAAAGATGCTCATTCACAAAACTACATCATATAAAAAAAAATCACAGCATTTCCACTTTATAAACCCAAACCTCCAATAACCAACTCTTTTTCAAGTGGGGTGATCCTTGAAACTAATTCCTCAGATAAACATACAAAATATGAGGCAAAGGAAAAGCTATGGAGAAAGAAAGAGTGAGGGTATGAATACTGAAATTCTTCTGTAGTATTTGCATATGTGACTAACCCCTAGTGTGATGAAGTGGAAGCATTAAGGTTTGTTTTGTTTTTATACTTATGAAGATATAAAATAAGCTAAAAACGTACCATTTCTGAGAAAAATACACTAACATGAAATGTAAAGCTTTTTAAATTTAAAGTGTTACAAGATTAATTCAAGCTGTTGCTGATTTAACATGAATTTAAAGACAAAATGTTGAATTTAGAAATTATCTAGTAGTCAGAAACATACTGAAGCAATACTCAAATTCTGGAAAAAGATGTGCTTAACCCATGAAAACTTTTGAAGAAAGTTTCTATTGCAATGGAGACAAGAGAAGTTCATAGTTTTATAACTTTCTAGGTGTATCCACCTACTCCTTATAACATTTCCTAAATCAAATTTTAATCAACTGTTGTACCCCAAAAGTTTTCAATGAGGAAGGCAAGATTAGGTAAGTACTCAGGTTTTGATGAAGAGCAATGCACAAATCATACCTGAGTATTTCAGAATGGAAATTAAGAAGAATTCCATCTGGGGAGACTTCTCAGAATTTTGAGACTGACTTGTTCTGTATTTGTAGAAAGCAAGCCTGTCATAAGTAGCTGAAAAAGAGAAGAAAATGGGGATTCAATTAATTTTCTAAAGTTGTTAACATATTTGACAATAATTGGGGACAGAGAAAACATTAAGAACTTCGCATAAAGATACAATAATTAGCTATTTACTGAAAGATTCATTGTCTAGATTACCCCCAAATGATATCTTCTGAAAAGTGATGTCTTCCTTATTTACTACTAAGCCAAAATCCTATTTTCCTTCCTTTGTGTAACTCCTATGGCAATAAAATAAAAACACAAGACAGCATTTATTGAATTACAAGTTTTATTCCTTTAATTTAAATAAACATTGTATAAAAAGTACAGAATTATCTGCTCTAGTCATTACTCATAGTGTTCTTGATAAGAGTCTTGAGATAGGAGACAGCACGTGTGATCTGGCAGGGCTCTGTGTCCACAAAAGAAGGGTATTTTCTCAGTGAAGTACTTTTAGAAACGACCTCCCAGCTTCTTCGTCAGTTTTATCATACAATTTTGTACCTGGACATTGGCACAGCTCATTCCTTATGTTTTTTTGTGCCTTCCCTGTTTTATGGCCGCACCTACAGCAGAGATATCTAAACTTGTCTTCAGTGACAAGGCTACCCATAGCAACAGGGAATAGAAGTGCAGGCTAGTTTATTCTGATTCCTGAGTGTATGTGAAGAGGTTTGGTTTTTTTTTGTACAAGAACTGGCACTCAAAAGAATCCAAGTGGAACTGCATAGTCCTAATGCAATATTCTTTGTTGGCAGTTTCAATGCAAAATTGAGTAGTGAAGATGAAAAATTCCAAGACCACAGGAATTTTTTTTTTCTCATACTCACATGTCCTAAGGCGGCCAAACAATACTCAGATATTATATCAGTCTTTTAATACACATAAATGTCCGTCCCCTCAAATTCCTATGCCCTGTAAAAAAGTAACTGAAGATTTCAATTTGATCCCGTCCATCCAGGCCATACATGGTAGGAAATGCAGGATACAGCATCTACAGAAGACCGGTCGGGTAGCGAGAACAATATTCACCATCCCTGCAGATAGCTTTGCACAGTCCTTTCCGCTGGAGAGTTCCCTCACACTCGCTTCTGTGTTAAGAAAGTCTTTTGGATCATTTTGCCCACAGCAGGCTTAGCTGTAAGAATCCAGTGCAATTCATATTATCGTCCAAACACAGAACAGAAATCACCCAAGTCTTTCCTAAACAGCACCTTTAAAACATGCACCAAATGAATACATACGATGAAAACCCCTGACACTGAAGACACAATGTATTAATTGAGATTTAAAAGTACATACAACAAATATTTTTATACATACACACATAAAAAAACCTAAAAATATAATTCATAGTACTAGGTCATCACAGGTAGTGAAATAAAAAGTGCTACAGAAATGCATTACATAGTCCTCTGAATATAAAAAAGGTTTAGAAGTCTGCAGTTGCATTGCATTTATCTTATTTTGTTCATTTTTGAGACGACATACCAACTTCTTATCTTCCTGAAGTCACTGAATACAGAAATTACTTTTAAACCAGAAGAACTTCCAATGTGATAATTTATTTTAGGCAGCAAGATGCAGCAGCATGGAAAAGCTGAGTAGGAAAAGTAAAGATGTTGTGACTGGAGCAAACTCAAAAATATTCTCCATCATGAATTATATTTCTGCCCTATTTTTTAATGAAAAAGCATATATATATATAATAATAAATAAAAAGCATAAACACCACATTATACCCTAGGGTTTACACACAGAAAAACAGATCAGGCAAAGCTAACGAGACCTGAAGAGGCTTTCTCCAACTTGTGGAATCAAGCCTCAGTAACACTGACAGTCAGTAAAAAAAGCTTCAAATGTATCCAGAACATTGTTATTTCAAAATCATATACTTCATTTAGTAGTCTTCAGAATTGAAATGCCTTTCTGTTCTCCACGACAAGAACTTCACTTTTTGTAGTGTACAAAATGTTTCTCATGAGTTAGAGATTCCAAAAGACAGCAGATTGGGATCACGATGATCTTAGTTTTCCACAAAAGGAAGAAATATCTCACATTTGACCTTTTTTATCCAGTAAAATGTCTGGAGCCAAGTTTGTGTAGCGTCACGCAAACTTGGACAGCAACGCTTTTCAAGAGGCTCAAAACTGAACCAGTGAAATAGTCTACTTTGTTTTAGCTAAGCTGCCCTGATTGAATGGGTTAAAGTCATCAGACCATGTCACTGAAAGTTTGTCTTCCAGCTGGTTACAGCTGTCCAAAATATCAACAAAGCTTTCAGCATCCACTGCTGATGCTTTTAACCTTCAGAACGACCACATATCAAATACAGCACAGCTAAACCGAAGTTTCAGGCAAATCATCCATTTCTTCAAACGTATTCAGGGTGTTTTTGCTATTAGTTCTTGAATTATCTTGAATTTTGCTTGGATCTGCAAGAAAATGCATTATAAACAAAACAGGATATGGCAGAAACTGTAAATGCAAGATCAAATTTTGCACATCTATTTTTTGTTAAAAACCATGCATTTATTTAAATAGCCAGTCATCAGTTTACTACCATATCTTATACAGAATTTTTTTCTGTTGCCCCTTTTCGTTATACCTGAGATCATTCTTCTAAGCAATATAAATGCTAATTGACTCAAGAACAAACTTCAGAACAAGTCTCTCAGATCCTCATATGCCCCTAACAAACTCAGATGCCTGCTGCCAGGAGGACATCTGACACTTCAAAGTTAGGTCATTTCTCTATTACACTTCCAACACTGTCAGGAGATGGGTACCTTGAATTTCCTGGTCAACAGCCACGAGGAGCAGTTTGTCATCCAATATATATTGCAAGACAAATTTGAATGTTCCAGGGTTAAAACCAGCAGATTATTGTACTGACAGGTAGAATCAGTCTGATTTCTTGCAATCCTATATTGAAGGACTAAATGTACTTTATGACAACTTTTTCAAAATAATATTTTCTGTCTTTTAAAAAGCTCTCTGGCCTTATACCATTCAAATGCCGTAAGAGAATGTAAAACTTAGATCAAGCATAACTGTTTAGAGAAAAATAAAGAAAAGGTAAGACCACCATGGTTTTTTTTTATTACACCAAGGTGTACGTAATGACAGGTTGTAACAAACCCTCTCCCCAAAACTTTAAAAATAATGTAACACCCCTACCATATTAGCCATGAGTTTCCCTAGCAGTAAAGTGTGGCTGAATATCTAGATTATAAGAGTTTATATTTTTAAAGGTGTAAAACTACATCAAAGCATTTCTAAGAAAAAGAATTATTGCACAAATATGGTGGTGTCAAATTCTGTAGTACCTGTTGGCCCTGGATCTTCATTAATAAATGAAACATGTGTTTTCCACTCAGTCCATTTCACTTCATTAATCCTGTTTGTATTGTATAGAAGTTGTGTTATTAGCATGCGTTATCTCCCAGCTACACAGCTGCACTTCCCCTTTTAGTTCTTTATTCCTTCCTGGGATTGTTATACTTCACCATCAACATTACTAAAAGTCTGAATGTCTTTTGCAATGTTATGTACCATATGAAGATGAGAATAATGCTAAGACTACTTTAGAATTTCACACATTATGAGTACAGTCTTGAAACTCACCTTAAATATTTAAGTATTTTTCATAAAACAGCCTAATAATATATTCTTTAAATGGTAATCATCAATTAGCAATGAATTTAAATATAATTCATTTTAAGCTAACATTCAAAGGAGATTATGAGTGACATTTATTGCAAGCAGACTTGTCACTTGCACATTAAAAAATATGAAGTTGAAAATCTGTTTTCTTATCAAAAATTGTCTACATAAAAACTACAAATTTTCCCTTTTTTAAACAATTGATCACAACTGAAAAAAAAAATTATTTTTGTACACCTAATATGATTTTTAGAGATGTAGAAATATTTTAAAGAGGCTTTTGAGGAGAAAGAGCCTTG